GTTTTCCAGAAAGTAGATCCGGCATACATGTATTGGTTAGCGGAATCACACTCAAAAATATATGGCAACCAATGTACATGATTTCCAAAAGACCAAAACAATAACGGAACATGTGCAACATGATTTGAAGCAATGATCTAGGAAGATGTGACTGAAGGACCCAGGAAATTGACACAAAAACGACGCTGCACCTCTACTTCTTTTCACATTTAACACAACTTCCACATAAATTTCCATCGTGATCACCAATCAAATTGGAGAGTTCACTGAGTGTCTGTGATGGACGTGAAAGGGTCCACAAGGCGAAATTTATGTTTCTTTTAAAAAGCAGCTGTTGCCATCAGATGATGATTGCTCCAGTGATGATCTTTGTCCGGTAAGTACTGTACCTAGAGGCCATGGGATTCTTTAAAGTGATTCATGACTACAATCGCCTGTATATACGATTTGGGTATCATGAATATATCATAACACTAATGGCTTAAATGTTTCGTGGAACTGGCACCATTGTCAACCATATAGATCGGTTTCGTTTCCTTAACGGTTCAAAGTAAATAATGGTGTTTCCATTAGCTAATGAGCGGTCCAGAATCGATCATTTACAGGCCGCCGCCATATAGCTGGAATATTGCATAGTGCGGCGTTAAACAACCAACCAACCAACCAAAGGTAATGGACAACGTGTTCATAGTGTTGCAGGTAAAGTTTTCCTTTGGGAAGATTTCATGAAATAAAACACATTTTCTCTTCTATTTAACCCCAGCTGTTATTGCTCTCAGTCATGTAGCGACCAGTACTATATTCAAAGGGTAGGCGCAAGATAGTCACTATGGGCAGCTTCACAACTGAACTGAGGGCTCCCCTGAAAATACCTCAAGGAAGCGTGGCATACGCATGTGACTACAGTGCTTCACGTTTGAAAACATTAGCTGAATAGGCGTGACCAACGAGTGCGCCATTTGCGTTAAACAGAACCGGTTTCTGATTACCGCACCACATGAATAGTCAGATATAACTATAAGATATTGTAAGATGTGAATATTGAATAAATAGGCGGGCCATGTGCCACCAAACCGTAGAAACAGCCAGTCTTCATCAGTGGTTTGTGGCTATTCATGAACGATTCTAATCGGTTCAAGTCCGACCATTGAGTGGAAACCAAACTTTGTGTGAAATATACCTCAACGGAAATAGAGATGCAAACTTGAATATTTACAAGGATAGGTTATTGTTATGAGTGAAACTGTAGTCTAATATACAGTTATGGTAATGTTTGCTTGTTCCTCGGTTTGTTTCAACGTTACATATTTTATTTTTACATATTTGCGTTTCTACAGAGACCAGTGTGCTGCATGCCTCGTGAAACACTGTTCTCGCGAGCTGGTGAGGCAATGTTTGCGTGACGTCATCACCGCTTATGATTCATGAACATGTATGGTAACACGCTCTTTCACCTCTCATCTCTTATCTTCTTCATCGACCCGTGAAGATCCGGGATTAAATAGATCTTCAGCAACCCACGCTTGCCACAAAAGGCGACTATGCTTGTCGTAAGAGGCGACTAACGGGATCGGGTGGTCAGGCTCGCCGACTTATTTGACACATGTCATCGGTTCCCAACTGCTCAGATCGATGCTCATGCTGTTGATCACTGGATTGTCTGGTCCAGAGTCGATTATTTACAGACTGCCGCCATATAGCTGGAATAATGCGGAGTGTGGCGTAAAACTAAACTCACTCATTCACTCACTATCTTCTTCATCAAAGTAGTTGTTGACGTTGTCTGAATATAAGCAGATGCTATAAGATCTCACATATATGTGAATTACGCAGCGAATAACCATAAGATAATTAACTTTTATCAATCTCAAGTTATAATTTTGTTTGCTTATTTGTTTGACGCCGCCGTTAGCGATATTCCAGCTGTATGACGGCGGCCAGTAAATAATCGAGTCTGGACCAGACAATCCAGTGATCAACATCATGACCATCAATCTGTGCATTAGCTTGTCAAGTCAACAAACCTATCGCCACCTCTAACAAGTATCGTAGGCACTTTGGCGGCATATGGGTTTTATCAGGGAATATACACATGTTTGTATATTCTCTGAGTTCAGTTAAAGTTGCGTTGTATAATCTAAATCACAGTGCTGTCAATATAAATGAAATAACAGCAGCTTATTATCATGACCATCAGCACAGCCATGCACAGGACGGTTATAGCCCGGGAAAGCCACATTTAAGAAAAACAGAGTTGAAAGTGGTGTGGCTCAAACGGCAATGGACATGGTTGAGTGATCGTGTGAATTTGGCTCTCCCGGCAATGCGCTGTCAGCTAATCCATGTTACCGTAAATAATGTGAAATATTCATAATGTAAAACCTAGAATCCAGTTGAATTATTCGTGGGGAAAAGTCCTGGGCCCCGTTCCTCAAAGCGATCGTAGCGCTAAGATGATTGTAACTCCCATACTTTAACATAGGCTTACGACTGTCGTAGCACGATCGCTTTGAGGAACGGGGCCCAGATCCAGCAAACTAGCTGCTGTCTCACGTAGGTACTCAAACACCTTTTACGAATTATTTATGGTTATACAACCAATTATTTCTTTGAAGCATTTTAACTTATGGGAGGGTCAATTCAATGTTTTATCTTTTCTGATAACTGTTTGAGATAAGAAATATTGTTGCCTCAATTATTATGTTTACATTCATGCTAAAAAGGTTTTTAAAAAAATAATTTAGAAGAATGACCATTTATTGCACAAATATACTTATAAACAACTACATATGTGACGCCTAACTCTTTCCATTTCATACCTGTTTTCAAGCAAAATTTATGACTAGATTTTCCAGAATCAGTAATTTTGCCGCCGTTGCAGTAATGACATTTTGATTTAAAGTTGAAACGTCACAATAAATGTGATTGAAAATTTCTCTGATGATGCAATATACCAAACATATATACCAAATTAGTTTACATGAAGGCACTCGCGGCCCAGAGGTTTGTATTTGAAATGTGGCTTTAGTGGCAATTGGTATTTTTCAAATGTGTCTTTCCCGGGCGGACATCGTTTTGTATGTGATATCGAACTCCGTTATAAAGATCGGGATACTTTACAGAAAACGATCAAGGCGTAACAATTACACAGAACATTATCGACATATCTATCGATTCGGCCTATACTAAATTCAAAGGGTAGCGTACAAGTCTTTGAAAACATTATCCAGAAATAAATGTATTTGAACTTTTTAGCTGATACATGCATTATTTCGTGACGGGCAGGGGGCGTTATCGACATGAAAGCACGGCGCTGAAGAGTTTACCGAACTGTTGAAACATGACTTTGGAATATTCATGAACAGAACATTGAAAACAAAATCTTCTTTGTACTTTGTGCCTTCTGATAATTATGTTGCCTGACAAAGTGCCTAAAGCATAATTATTTAAATAGTGTGATTGCTCCTATTTACCTACAAAGGATTAGTAATGTGTATATAGCAACAAAAATCGACTGTCAAATACACGTATTCACTTTGATCTGCCCTTTGTTTCTCTCATGCAATTCAGTTGGTTCAGCTGAATCAGCAGGTTTTCACAGCGTGTTCGTAAATGCATTGTGTGATGTTTACAGTGCGTCAACACTTTTACATGTAATGTTTATGATTGTTAGTGTCTTAAAGACATTTTCGTCAGACATGACATACGATGCCCCAAAACGGTATTTTTCTGTTTGTAATGAATGTGTTACGAAGTTTTCTGTGCTTGATTCGGTAAGCTGACGTTAACGCCATTTAACTACGTTTTTATTCAAACTGTCAATGTCTGCAACGTCTCCGTTTGTCTGATGTGACGATGCAGTTTGTGGACTCGATAAGAACGCGCATCGAGTAAGGTCGTCCATCTTAGTTGTGACGTCATTGCAGCGGTTACTTTTAGTGCTTCTGATCGCATGCAGCCGAGGGCATGTGTGTGAAATAATTTAAAAAGGACAAGTCACTAAAGTAATTTCGATCCATTGTGATCAATGGGTGACGCTTATTGAAAAAAAAGGTATTGATTCCCTTACTCATTGTGGCTTTCGCAGCGATTCGCGGAACCGAGGTTTGTACTTAAAATGTGGCTTTAGCGGTAGTTGGTATTATTTAAATGTGTCTCTCCCGGGCAGACACCCACAGGTCAGCTGTCTGTAATTAACCTTAATTAACCGAGTATGGTCGATCTGCCACGGAAATTTAACATAGTGGGTGAGGTGCTGGATACTGCAGGCTGACCATACAGGTATCGTAATACGATACAGGGCTGTCTGACAGTCAGTAGTATATATAATTCCTGTCTCTCCAAGTATTTTTATATCTACCACCGGCATACAAGCATGGGTTTTCACGGCTCATAATGGTATGTCGTACACACATACTTTATGACAGCAACAAGCATTTAGCCTTCTATCCCAGTGACGATGTGAATTATCATTACGAAAAAAAATATCCAAGCATGACGACATGCAGTATATACGTATGAATTATGATTATGAACTGTCTCGATGTGTTGTTTGCCAAATGGATAAATAGTGTGATGTATTATGTGTCATGAATTGTGACACTATTAACTGCACTAAACATATGCGTGACTCGAGCTTTCTAACCCTTCTATTTAGGTCCCGCCATATTTTTAGCTTCTGCTCCTTAACCGAAAATAAAGGTGACAATCCCTGGCGTTCGTATAACGAGGCAGTGAGTGAGTGAGTTTTAGTTTAACGTCGCTTTTAGCACTATTACAGCAATATGACAGGGGGGGGGGGCACCAGAAATGGGATTCACACATTTTACCCATGTAGGGAATCGAACCCGGGTCGTGACGAGTGAATGCTTTAACCACTAGGCGACCCCCCACCCCCACCCCCACTAGGGGGCACTGGAGAAGTATGACATATGTGTTGTGTACGACGTCAACGCGGATGTCATGCCGCACCTTCAGTATCCGTCTAGACTACAGTGAGCCTAACTGCAACCACAGATAGCTGCGTTACAAATCTCCTATGATGGCTCTGCACTTAACACGCGTGGCATTCATTGTTCTGTTAACCTTCCATTCACTTCAACTGGTGACATCACGTATGTATTCATTTTATGTATGTTGTATCATATATGTTGAAATATAGTATTTATCTTAATTCTTTCGTGAACACCCAGTATCCTTACTGTGGCAGTACGGTGATTCATAACCACGTTTTCGAAATTGTCGGAATTGTACATCTGTCCCATTAACATGTATTCTGATTATGCCAACGGTTTTTGTTGTTTCTGTTGAAATGTCTGTGTCGTTTACTTCTAATCTTCTTATGAACAAACGTGTGTTTCCATGGGGTTGTACACCATATTCAGCAACATAGTCAAACTTTCCAAATGACTGAATATGTGGGTGGGACAAACCAGTGGCTGATACTGTGAGCAGTGTCCCACGCTCCTGAGATATCATGAGGCGAAGTTAACTAAGCCTAATTGGGTTGAGTTGCCTCGTACCACGGGAAACACACGCTTCCTGGACATTTTGTGATCCGGGTTCAGGCCTTAATCTATCATCCAAACTGTGTTCAACAGGATATATCGCTTGTGTGAGATCATATGATATCTCCAAGTATTACAATTATTATACTGTCACAAACATAACAATCAAAGTATCAAGAAATAATATAATTATGAGTGGTAGCTTCAGACTACACACTATGCTTTCATACAAATATTGTTCTAGTTGTTTTTTTTTTTGTGTGTGTGTGTGTGTGTGTGTGTGTGTGTGTGTGTGTGTGTGTGTGTGTGTGTGTGTGTGTGTGTGTGTGTGTGTGTGTGTGTGTGTGTGTGTGTGTGTGTGTGCTCTGCAACAGTTCTTGTGTAAGACCCTCAGCAACCAGCCTAAAACAACAGAGCGGATTTATGTCGATCCAATTTTATTATGGCGGCTCCAGACACACGTGTCATACAAACTACAACCACTATTGCGCAACGGACATAATATCCTGAGTACATCAGATTTCTATTATAAAATGTTTCTGACTTTTCACAAAGGATTCAACTGGAAAATTAACTGTCAACTTTTAATTGAATTAATCACAACAAGCAAATTGTAAAATAACTCTTGTATAATAATTCTTTTCACCAAGATAATACTCCAACGGATGACAATATCAAATCCAGGTATTTGGTGATAATACATTATGTCACCCAATATGGTATTTTGAAATATTGGAAATACTTATACATTTGTTACAAAATCACTAATGTATGATTACGTCATGCATGAAGAGCAGTTATTTCTGATATACATATTCATAGAAATACCATGTTTATACATGACCCATAGTCACATAAAATATGTAAACAATACTGTTGCTTTATTCAAAATTACAAAAATGACTTGACAATAATTCCTATAGAATACCAGATACATGTGTTTTACCAATTTGCAAGTGAAAATACATTGAGATAATACATAGAGTCACAACATAACCCGTAACTCACTTCTCGATGAGTAAAATCAACTTCCACTATATAAACAGATTAGAGTTACTTCCCCTATGGCGAGGGGGGAGTATACCAGTCACGTGACCCACGAAACTAGGAGACACTCAAACTTCAATCAAAATTGGCGGCTATTTACTATTATTGGTTTTCCTACAATAACATATGTCTAAAATAATTGTTTTGACTATTTAAATAAGTAAAACACCTATTGTAAGTACGAGATCAATAATAATTGAATCTAAATCGAGTGTAAGCGTTACTACACAACTTGACCTTCACAACATCACGAGCAATTCAGCTCGACATTGATAAATTACCCAAAACATCACATAAACAGCATTTCAAGTTCCCGAATGACTATTTTCCGGTACCAGGTAATGTAACAAATACGTAGTTGTGTACAGAAGACCTTATTTCGACCTACAGAAATGCATACGTACCTAAAACAACAGAGCAGATTTATGTCAATCCAATTTTATTATGACGAGCATGCCGCTGCAATCTGATTGGTCCGTTGACAACGGACGTCCCTAAGCTCTTCGGGCAGAGTTATCCCCATTGGCATATTACCGAAGATAGCTAATATTCTACATTCTTACAGTTGCCCCTCTTCTTGTTCCTTTATGCAGTGGTTAAAGGGCTTAACCCCGATTCGTAGATAATGTTATAATACAACATGTCAGTTTGTGGAAGGAAATTCCGAAATAACGGCTGTCGCAGTAGAAATCTGTAGATCACAACTCTATTTGCCCACACTCTCGAATGGACGTGTGTTGTAAATCGGTACGCCATAGAACTCACTAAATACGACGTGATCCAAGGTTGGAAATGTTGCCCAGAAACCTGTGTTTTAGTGCGAGGAACCTTAGCTGATTTATGGTCACGTTCGTTGAGTTAACTACTGCTGTGTCATACTATCAATAACCTATTTGACTGCTATAAATATATGTTAGAATCTTGCTCTCACTCTTCTCATTTGTACCTGCAGAGGAACAGACATGTGGGCAGAACCAGAATATGTGTACAGACAGTAAGCTGTGCATTCCCGCTAACTGGTTCTGTGACGGAGACAGGGACTGTTCCGACGGGAGCGACGAGATGGGCTGTGGTATGATACATATTATCCGCTGATGAGAAATGTGAAGTCACATTGAGACTCACTCACTCACTCACTGACACTATGTTGAACAATTTTAATGATATGCTCACTGCCGTCATATCGAGATGTACATATTTTATGAAATCTGTCACAACTACAAGTCAGGCATAGGTCATTCCTGGTTTGGCCTATTGAAACTAGGTGACCGACCAATGTCATGCAGATGGAATATTGCTCTAACTCTTCTCATTTGTAGCTACAGAGGAACACACATGTAGCCAGAACGAGAAGATATGTACAGACAGTAAGCAATGCATTCCCGCCAACTGGTTCTGTGACGGGGAGAGGGACTGTTCCGACGGGAGCGACGAGATGGGCTGTGGTATGATACATACTATCCACTGATGAGAGATCGGCAGACATAGCAAAATTTGCAACAGAGCGTTTGCCCTGCCCTGCCCTGCCCTGCCCTGCCTATCATAACATATATCCTATATCCTAGCCAACATTATCTTACTCTATTTTACCCTAATGTACTCCACTCACACAATCCAAACATATACCCTACCGACCCTGGCCCCTCCCACCCCACCTTACTCACACTTTCCTATCCTACTCCACCTTACTCTACTCACAATATCCTACCCTACTCTACCTCACTCTACTCACAATGTCCTATCCTACCCCACTTTACATTCCTCACCCTATCCTACTTCATTCTATCCTACCACGCCTTGATCCACTTACCCTATCCTACACCACCTGCCCTACTCAAACTACACCACACTATCCTCCCCTGTGACGCCTTGCCCAACGTGACACCCAACAACAACCCGGGCCCCGTTTCACAAAGCGATCGTAGCGCCTAAGGTGATCCTATACTATAACATAGACTTACGACTGTCGTAAGGCTACGATCGCTTTGAGGAACGGGTCCCAGGAGCGGTGACATTGCTTACCCAGTGATGCCCTTACCCACTCTTTCATCGTGACAATTCCTTCATCATGTTACTGTACACTATCAAAGCTAAATGGCTGTATTGTTATAGGATGAAGATATTGCCAGTGCTAAATCACTGGTATGTGACATGCTTACTTCCGTCATATCGATATGCACATGTTTTATTGACTCTGACACAACTGTCCCCAGGGCCCGTGACGTGCAGTGAGAGACAGATGATGTGCTCTGACAACATGACGTGCATCAGCGAGACGTGGCTTTGTGACGGACAGCAGGACTGTAGTGACGGAAGTGACGAGGAACAATGTGGTATGTAACTGTTAGCCCTACAAACTGATGGAATGCTCCAGTTAGATCACAGAGATCATTTCTTCGTCCACCTGTTAATACAATTATAATTTATCACAGAATGTCTTCGGTATCTGTTTGAGCTCAACTATTTCAAATGCCATGCTGATTTTTCATGTATAGTAAGTCACCTACTGTCATTTTTATGTATGATTTTATAGCTGGAACCTTTACTGTATGTGTTAATGCTTTGTTGTGAATGTCTGATCATAATAATGTTCAACTTATTGAGATGATCAACAAGTGAAACAGTATTTGCCTTTTAAAATTTGCAAAAGGTAAACTACAAAACAAACTGCAAAAAGGCTGGAATTCCATGAGGGCCCCATCAGCAGTACTGTAGTATACATGGGGCGGTGGGAAAGCTTAGTAGTTATAGCTCTGGCTCTTCATGCTTAATCTGTGAAAGCCTTTTTTGGGGTCGTCGCTGAGAAGCGATTGCACAGGTGTAACCAGGGGACATAACCTCCTAGAGGAACCTCCTACTTGGTAAACCACTAAGTCTTCCTGCTTGTCCATTTTTCTTTCATGTTGGAATGTTTATAGTTTTGTTATTTTTTACATCCATGTATCACTGCATCATTTTAGACCCTCTATACATTCTCATCTCGCGCTATCAAATTCGCTTACTGACCAAACAAAATTTCCTTAGACAAATGCAGGGCCAATCGGACATATTGTGCAGACGGTCAGGGCTGTGTTCTAAACAGGTGGCTCTGTGACGGCGACAGGGACTGCGTTGATGGCAGCGACGAAGGCCCACAATGTAGCAACGGTACGTACACAACCTACTATACATGGAGATATTGATCCAGAATGATACCCGAATTTGTTATCAAAGTATGGCGACATCAACATCATAAGCCTTGTTACATATAATGCAATTGGGATTTGGGTTGCGAATTGGCTCCATTAAACCGTAAGAGTCGACTTAATGGATTGTCTCCGATCAGGTGAAGGCATACCCCGACTGAGTGATTCGCTTCTCAGAATAGCATTCACAGGTGCGTCTGTCCAAGGATAGATAGTGTACAGGCTGCAGGGTGTGGCGTCAAAAACAGATGATCCAACTGTTCAGTTACTACGAAAAGGACATATTTAAGGCATCTGTCATGCCTAGAGAATACTAGAGGGTATTCGGTGTGACAATCTGATCCTTACCCGTTTGGCCACCAACCCTTACTCATATTCCAACGAGTTGTATGATGGCAAATATCTGGTATTACAGTGAATGTTGACTTACACTTTACCGTCGCGTGGAACAGTGTTTCAGTACGATTATAATGTCAGTGTGGCATGTGAGGACAGGCTCAAATTTATGTGAGACGTTACCACTTCTTTCAAACCCAGGAGCACATCATTGACCATGAACTAGCTAGTATTAATGTGGGATCTGAAACAAATACATGCCACGGTTGGCAAATATACAGTGGCGTGATATGTTGTTAGCCAGTGTAGGACAGGTTCACATTTTTTATTTTAGCTGCTTGATTTCTCCACAGACACAAGTACATGCCGGGGAATGACAGCCATGTGTGAAGACAGCAAACAGTGCATCCCGACTGTCTGGCTTTGTGATGGAGAGGAGGACTGCTTCGATAGAAGTGATGAGAGGAATTGTGGTCAGTTGTTCTCATTGTATTTCATATATCAATATCGTAAGTGGCGACTCACGGGATCGGGGTGGTCAGGCTCGCTGACATGGTTGACACATGTCATCGGTTCCCAATTGCGCAGATCGATGCTCATGCTGTTGATCACTGGATTGACTGGTCCAGACTCGATTATTAACAGACCGCTGCCACTCACTCATATTTCAATAACAAATTGGAAAGTTTCTTACAGTTTATCAGGTCAATTAATATACTGGAAACACCACCTCCATCAGCCTGTCGAGGGCCTCGCACTCTCTATCTGTACGTAAGTATTATTAAGTAGTTAGCTGAAGCCACTTAACGGACAGGGTGTTCAGATTCGCTAACTTCATTGATCCATATCAATGAATCCCAAATGTGCAGATTGATATTAATGGTTTGCTCACTGACACGTTTCATCCTGGCTGGATTATTTACAGAATGCCGCTATGCAGTCTGAATATTGCTACATACGGCAACAAACAAACAAAGTCACTGTGGTTACAGAAGTCTTAAATAACCAAAATATTTTTCATGAGAAATGCCATGACAAACTACTGAGTGTTGAAGACACCAAATCTGCACCCGGCAAACTCAGGTAACATAGGGGCTACGCCTAACTTTTAAAAAAAAAGTGAGAAAATGGGGGGAGAGGGTTCTGCATCAAGGCACGGACTAGCGCTGTGATATTGCTGAAATATTACTTGGGCGTAAAACTGAACTGTTTCACCCAACTCTAACATTATACTAATGTTATATTAATGCCAGTATAATATTTTGCGGGTTGGGAGGTTCCAGGTACGTGCTATTGCAACAAGAGAAATATTATAAAACACAGAGTTATGCATATGTTTGGCTTGACTAGTCCCTGCCACTTATTAACCCTTTACGTAAGTAACTCATTTAGATGATAGGCTAAACCGAAATATTACATATTTTAAGTTTCATGTTCACTAGATTCGATACTTTATGTGGCAAGTACTACAAGAAGGTCTGCCAGATACCAGATTGTAACTTACAACTTGTTTCAGAACGTGTGTATCAAGTGTAATAGGCTTCTCTGCCCAGTGACAGTTGGCTATAATAGGGTTTAGGACCTTGCGTTGTGTACTTTTTTATGTGGTCATGGTAAAGTAGCCAACTTCAAATAGGCTCTATGAATCAGGCCTCATTGCTGGTAAAAACATAACAAATAGAAAAGAGAAACTCAATAATTTATTTACAAAAACCTAAACCTATCCTAACCCAACAACCTAACCTAGTCTATACCTTAACAATCTAACCTAACCCCAAACCCTAATGAGACATGGCTCTGATTTCAGAGCCTATGTCCAAAACAAATAAATATCTTAATTTCCTATGTAACCAAAAACAACCTAAAAATTGGTCTGGATTACCAGGACTCAAGCAACTGAAATAAATGTCCTCACCTCTGGTGAACCAGTGGACTAAAGACAAGGAGTGCTGTGAAGCTACTTCCTTTATAGGGCTAGAGGCAGGCAGTGCATGTGCTGCACATGCCAGGCACAACCTGCCGGGTGTGTTGTGGCTATGCATATCAGCATAGCCGAGAACACACTAATAACCCATGTTATTTTAACCCAACCCCAAATAGAACTCAAACTTTACCCGAAATATCCTAAACTCCCACACAAGCATGAGGGTAGTAATCTATTTCTAACACGCCGTGTAACTGCACCCTTCTGATACTGAATCGATTCATGTTTTGGCTATTCGCATGATCGTTGTTGCGCATTAATACCTAACACAACTGTCATACATCCGTTTTGGTGCTCACTTCTCACACTGTGTGAGCCTAAACATTAATGTCGTACCTGTGGTTTATCATGATGATAACGCAAACGTGATAAGGAAACACATTTATTACACACTCTAACACCATAAATGTTCTAAACAGACGTTGTTGAATTCGACCAGAAAACTAATCAATGAATCCCAATCAGGCAAATAGTCTGTCACAATATGGTCCCAGGTCATCACAACAGGGTTGCCAGTCACGGACATAGTACTGAATCTTACACATCAATGAATCTTATACTCCAGTTCTTTCCAATGGGTTACAGATTGAAAGGTGAATATAAATGCCAGCGACCGAGATTAGCCATGTCTCGATTATCCACTGAAACGGATTCTTGTAAAAGGCAATAATTCATGAATGGATCATTAATGATCAGTCTTCGCGGAAAACGCTTGAGACATTTTTATCACACACTATTTTTTTTTTAAATCAGCAGCGCCAAAGTGCAGTGTCGATGAGACGATGTGCAAGAACAGCGACCAGTGCATCCAGAATCGCCAGCTGTGTGACGGAAAGCAGGACTGCCCGGATTCAAGCGACGAGAACGGTTGCGGTAGGTGATAGATCTTTCACAGTTGTAGATAGATCGTAAACAGATAAACACCTTCCAAACGTTTATTTAGTCAAAACATTTTAGTCTCCGCTCATTTTATCATCACCGACCGTGACGATCCGGGTTAGAATTCATCTTCAGAAACCCATGCTTGTCTTAAGAAGCGACGGACGGGATCGGGTGGTCAGGCTAGATTTGGTTGACACATGTCATCGGTTCCCAATTGCGTATATCGATGCTCATGCTGTTAATCACTGGACCAGACTCGATTATGTACAGACCACCGCCATGTTGCTGGAATATTGCTGAGTGTGGGGTTAAGCAAGATCCAAACCAAATCATTGACAGAGATGATTTGGGGGCATCGCTCTGACAAACCACGCTTACGTTTTACTTAATAGGGTAAAAAAAAGCCACACGAATATTTTCATAATCATAAAGAAATTCTCTAATAAAACAAGAGTCAAATGTATGTGTGCTTTGACGGGAAAATACAATCGAACATAAATAATTTCATAAACCTTCAAATGGCATAATTCACTATATACCTGGATACTTAGGTATAGCTTTACATTATTGTCTTAATGCAAGCCAGGAGCATGTTACAAGTCTGTGTATGAGGAATCATTATGCATGCCATTTATGTAAAACATGCACTCCAAGGTAAGCTTCATTTTGTGATACGTTTAACAATTACAATGTGTTTTACCCCGTGAAGGTCCCTGTTAGAACTGGACTTCAACAACTATTGTTTGTCGTAAGAGGCGGCTAACGGGACTGGGTTATCAGACACTCAGATTTAGTTGAAGCATTTTGTGGCATCACAGTTACGTTGGTCGATGATCCTAACGCCAGGCACTGGATTGTCTGCAACTGACTCGAATGCATTGATCGGATGGCAATGTCGTGGATATATGCTCATAATGTCAATCACTGGATTGCAGGGTCCACACTCAATTATTTACATGTTGCTCGAAGATTGCGAGTGCGACGTTCATCATTAAAAGTGTCTTTATGTAAAGAATTGCCGTAACAGCACTGATCAGACAACGGTAATAACTGTGTTTCCATTTCCTTCCAGCTGCTGTGTACAGTTTGAAGAACATTCTTCAAGGTTTTAGAACGCTCTTTAATAATATCCAAACTGAAGGAAAATAAAACGTTGCATTATTTACATTTTACTGTCTCGTTGTTGGGCACTTAGAGACTGACCATTCGATAATTTAGGGTCGCGAAGCTAAGGTTTTGGTGGGTGGGACGGAAATTGGAAACTTGCTGCTACCGAATATATATTCTCACTATATACTTTTAAAATAGTGAGGCTAACAGACCTGGTTTTGTAAGCCGAACACATATCCAGCCTTCTAACAAAATTCCCACCCCAACCCCTACAAACAGCGTCCTCGTTAAGAATACCAGATGGCCAATCTAGTAACAGCCATCTTCATTTTGAGACGATCACTTTTCCTTGGACATAATTTTCTTCCCAAACTACTCAATCAAGAGGCCAGGATATAAGGAAGGTGGTTAAATTGGCAATCATTCAATATGCCTTAAAATGCATGCAAAAACATATCTGTAGTCGCGTGAACATCTAGGATTCAAACTCACGATCATAGTATCCAGGCAAGCCTAAAGGGCCGCAACTCTGACCAGTACAACTATTTACGGCGCTCGTCGAGTCGGACTTAAGATACTTTGGAGCCATTTTATGAAAGGTTTAGGACAATAGTGATGGTGAATCCTTTCCTCGAATGGTCCTACATAGGTTAACAGGACTGTTGTCTGGGTAAGTTGATGCGAGACGAAAACGATTATGTTCTTTACATGTTGTATTTCTGGAATCAAACCACGGTATATGTCAGAAGGGAATAATGCCTCAATCACTCGGCTACCTCTGCACCAAGTGACACTACATACAGTCTTCAGATTACACAATTCAAAACGTTTTAATGTACAGTTGGGATGGTGTTCGTGTTCCAAGTGCGTTCAAAAATTGTAAGGTTCTTCTTTTCAGTATTTGCTTGTGTATAACTAAGCGTTCGTCGCGGCCTTGCTTTAACTGACACAGTCACGATCCTGAGGTTCTGTGGTTTCTCAGCATTTAGGGACGTCTTCATTGCAATCAGCCAAACTTTAGTAACTACAGAAGAAGGCATCAATATATACATTCGTTAACACTCGTGTTATTCTGGGACAAACCTAATATCAACTCGTGCCCCTCAAGAAGGAATTCATATTAACGTATATCGATGCGAGACCCACAAGTCACGTGATCTCGTGAGGCGTCGACTGACTATGCAACTGCAGTTGTTTCCAAATTTTGATACGTAACTGCACACATTACTTGTTTTCTTTGGCCGAATTGGAGACAAACAGACAGATATTTCATTACTGTCTCGCCTTGTGGTACATTACATATACACAGTGTTAAATATAACAATAACATTTTACACAAGCCATTCCATAGGAATTATGAGAGACACACATATATGTAACCTATGTTATATTTGGGATTACACTCCCAGACTAAATTTCGCCATAGTACTTCTATGTGTTCGGGGCATATGTGATACTATGAAATGTTCCGCTTGATATCCACTTTTCGTCACAGTCTTATAGGTTCTTAGTTTCCCTGTATTGTCATTAGTCCTTTGAGTCCATGCACACCTGACCGCCTCCGTGGTGTAGTGGTTAGAGTGTCCGCCCGGAGTGCGGAAGGTCGCGGGGTTCGATCCCCGACCGCGTCATACCAAAAGACGTTAAAATATGGTACTTGTTGGTCCCTGCCTGGCGCTCGGCATTAATGGGTACAACAAGGACTGGTCGGCTTGGAGTCAGTATAATGTGTCTGAGTGGGGTATTCATGCTTCACTGCGGCATAGTATCTCAGTGGGCTAGCACTATAAAACCAGCTTCAGTCTGGGCTAGTACAAGCAGCCGAACATACACATACACACGCATGCACGTCATCATATGAGCGAAATATTCTCAAGCACGACGTTAAACCCAATACCACCACCACCACCATGCACACCTATATCTAGTGAATAGCGTATACGTATCTTCCATTATCTTACCCATGCCTGGTCACCCCCCATATGTCTCTCCTGCGATGAGGCTTTCACCGTCAAGCATATTCTGCTTGACTGTGTGGATTTTACATCTGCAAGGGACTCGCATTATCACGCAACCAATCTGAAAGATCTGTTCTCCAGCGTGAGCGCCCATCTGATACTGAACTACCTGAGGGAAGTTGATCTATATCATAAAATGTAACTGTGTAATGTCACTAAAGAATTTACCTGCTTTTCAATTTAATGCTATGACATTCTCTGTTCTAAAATGACAACGTAATGAATGTATGTCTTTGAAACGAAACCACTTTGTACTTACAATGTATATTAATGCAGATTTGTTCTCGTCACTATATGGCTGGAATAATGCCGATGTGACGTAAAGCCCAACTCAACTCAACTCAACTGAATGATGTATAAATAGCGGCAGTCACAGCCTCTAAACAGTTTTCTTAGCTTAATATTCCAGTTTTTACACCCGGGAGTGGGACACTTATCAGTCCATAGAAATATCCTTTTGTTTAATCTGTTGTTGTCCATACTCATATCACTGCGCCACTGTTGTAGACCAGGGCCCCGTTCCACAAAGCGATCGTAGCGCTAAGATGATCGTAACTCCTATACTTTAACATAGACTTACGATAGTCGTAGCGCTACGATCGCTTTGAGGAACGGGGCCCAGGGCTTAGATTTTTCGAAGCTCTCTTAGCGCTAAGATAGTTAGTTAATGTATGGCAGTTACGACTATCTTAGCGATAAGAGAGCTTCGAAAATCTAGGCCCTTGGCCCCATTTCACAAAGCGATCGTAGCGCTAAAGTGATCGTAACTCCCATACTTTAACATAGATTTACGACAGTCGTAGCGCTACTAACGCTTTGTGAAACGGACCCCTGCAATCTTCTGTGATATGCTTACGGGTACCCACCCTATATCAAAAAACACTCCATCAGTTGGCACATATGTACCGGCACCTATATATGACCTATGGGTAAGCAATCAGTGATGAACATAGACGTATGGAGTTAAAAAATCCCACGCCGAAATTACAATATCTTGTAGTATTATTCCATGGTTCTGAAACTCACTGCCTGAAGATTGCCTGCTGTTATGAATACCAGTGAAACCGATGTTTATCGGCCCGTACTTTCTGTTCCACAAGGGATGTTAGTACTTAGCTAATCGTAACTCCCCTTCATTAACATTAATTGAGGATCCACTCAGTGCAAAGGGTGTCTTCGCAGGAAGGCGTCTTTTTTGGCGTGTAAAAACATGGGCCGTTTTTTCGTTTTCGCCTTCGTGCGAAAAGGGTGGAAATTTGCAACAATGGGTTCAGGTGTTTATACAAGACCCCTTATCCAAGAGGAAGGCGACAAGCACAAGACGTTCATGTTCATATTATTCATACATATGTACAACATAACAGTTTATCACCGTCTGTCTGCATACTGGTCGGAATCCAATCGTGCAAAGGGGTTTTTCTCGTTCACCAGGCAGCTTAGGGGGATTAACAGTTAGGATTGATTGATTGTGCAAATACTCTTCATGCCTGTGGGATATGGTCCTGTGACATATGGACCCGTGCAAAGATCTAACGGGGCTGAGACTGAATTATAGATAATTTAACTCTACTCAAAACCATTAAACATAATCAAAACTCAGCAGTGTTCTTATTTTTACAAACTGCCACAATAATAGATATATAGTGAAATCATTCAGTATTGTTTATCTAATCGTATGTGGTACGTAACATGTATAACTGTGGCATCTTATGAACGTTACACTATACTATTAAGTTTAAGGCGATTTTAAAGGTTTTTAAGTGTTACTGACATGTTATGTAACGATAGAAATCAGCTATAAAACCCTTCTTGGTGAACAACAGGTTGCAGGGTTTAAACACCAGGCCTACCAAAGAAAATTCT